TCCTTTGACCACCAGTCTTGCACGATACCTCTCAACTTGATCGTCACTATTTCACTTGATTTTGAAGACCCATTTGTTACCAATTGGCTTCCTTCCTTGTGGTAGTGGCACAAGGTCTCATGTATTATTTTTATGAAGGGCTTCGATTTCTTCTTGCATCGCCATCATCCACGGTGAAGCATTTGAGCTGTTTATTGCCTCCTGGTATGTTGATGGCTCACCGTCCTCTGTTAAAAGGCAATATGCAACATTTCCTTCTATAACATAATCTGAGTGCCAATTGGGATGTCTTCTCACACGATCTGATTGACGAGTTGTTGGAGCTTCAGAACTCTCTGGTTCTTGTTCATCATGTGCTGGTTCTGCTTCAGAAGAATCTCTTTGTTCAAACTCTTTTTCCACATGTATCTGAGTAGTCTCTGACTTTTCAGCGCTATCATCGTCTTCTTTTCTTTGTAGTTTATCTTCTACAAAGATAACATCTCTACTTATGATCACTTTGCGGGCAGTGGGATCCCACAAGCGATACCCCTTTACTTCATCAGCATACCCCAAGAATTTGCATTTCCTGGATTTTGGATCCAACTTTGAAATTTCTTGGGAGTTGTACATCACGTACACTATACTTCTAAATATATGGAGGTTTGAATAATCAGCTGGTTTTCCAGTCCACATCTCCATTGGTGTCTTCAGCTCTATTGCAGTTGATGGAGCTCGATTCACCAAATAACAGGCGATATTTGACTGCTTCTGCCTAGAATGATTTTTCTAGGCCTGCATCCCTCAATATTGCTCTTGTTCTTTCTAACAAGGTTCTGTTCATCCTCTCTGCCACTCCATTTTGTTGAGGAGTGTTCGCCACTGTGAACTGTCTTTTGATGCATTCTTTCATGCAAAAGTCATCAAATTATTCGCTTGTGTATTCTCCTCCATTATCTGTTCTGAAACACTTGATCTTATTTCCAGAATCAAGTTCCACCCGCGCTTTGAAGTTTTTGAAAGTTGAAAACACGTCTGACTTCTTCTTAATATGGTGCACCCATCATCTCTTGGAGTAGTCATCAATAAATGAGACAACATATTTTGCTCCACTTAGGGACGTTACTGGTGCTTGCCATACGTCAGAGTGAACCAATTCTATAACACTTTTGCCTCTAGAATTTGATGTGTTGAATTTCAACCGGTGCTTCTTACTTGTTATGCAATGTTCACACAAAGGAAGTGATATCTTTGTTAAGCCTGGAAGTAGCTTTTGCTCCACAAGGACTTTCATTCCTTGTTCTAACATGTGTCCAAGTTTCTGATGCCATAGCATTGTCGAATCTGAACTACATGAGGCAACACAGGCTTCTGCTTCTACCAAAGTCTCTCCCTTCAGCATGTACAAGTTTGCAGCTATTTTTTCGCCTTTTAGCACCACAAGCGCTCCACGGAACACCTTCATGATTCCTTTCCGTGTTTCAATCTTGCTTGCATTATTATCCAACAATTCGTATGATAATAAATTTTTCTTCAGGCCTTTCACGTGCCGCACATCTCGAACAACTTTAATTGTTCCGTCATACATCTTCAATTTGATGGTTCCCACGCCAACGATCTCTAAGGCATGATCATTGCAACTATAAACAGATCCTCCTGAGACAGGTTCATAATGATGGAACTATTCTCATCTTGAGGTCATGTGATATATTGCTCCTGAATCAATGCGTCATATATCTGCAAATCGTTTTCTTCCTTCCACGGTAGTTGACGCTTCACAGCATAGAGCATCTCCATCATCTGAAGTGTTTGCGGTATTGCCTTGTGGATTGAAGTTTTTATTTAGACTCTAACAATCATTCTTCAAATGACCCTTCTTTCCACAGTTGTAACACTTTAAATTCTTCTTGCTCCTCGACTTCGATCTACCATGTTTGTGACTGCTGCTTTGGCCACATTCTGTTGATCCCCCTCTCATCGTTGTCAACGCTTCTGCTTGTTGCAGATTTACTTGTCTGTTTTCCTTGTTCTTGCGCCGATTTTCTTCTTGTAGAACAGCAGCTGCAACGTCATCGAAGACTAGACTGGTGACATTATTGTTTGTCAAGTTGATGATGAGTTGATCATACGAATCCGGTAGACTTTGAAGTAGAAGTTCATCACGTTCTTGTTCTCCTATTTTACAGCTTAAGGATGTAAGCTGAGAAAATAAAGTGTTCAGTGTATTTAAGTGCTCCGTCACTGAAGTAGATTCTGACATACGGAGAGTGTACAATTTTCTCTTAAGGAAAATTTTATTGTGCAACGATGTGGCCTCGTACAATTTGGTGAGATGATCCCATATCTTCTTAGCTGTCTTCTTTTCCTCGATGCTCGACAATACTTCATCTGCTAATGCTAGATGAAAGTTTGTCATAGCATTCCCGTCCATTTCGATCCATTTGTTGTCATATATGAAATCCACCGGCCTTTCATTGATAGTTGCTAGACAACCGTCTTTCCTCAGGATGACATTCATCTTCAATCTCCACAATGAGAAATTTCTCTCATTGAATTTTTCAATATCAAATTTCGTTGCCATAGCTTCTTTTACAGATAGCTCTCACTATTTCACTATCGTGAATAGTTCTCTGGAACCTTCAAAGAATGGGTAATAACTTCTTACTTTCTTATGTTGGAGGATCCACCTTTTGGTGGCAACCACAAAGATAATAAGCAGATATTACGCACTCTAATCTAGCTCTGATACCAATTGTTGCGGAAGACGGCTATCAGATAGAGCAAAATCGCAACTGATAATTTTAGAAAATAAAAATAAAGATAAAAGAGACAAAATTTACGTGGAAAACCCCTAAAAATTTAGGGTAAAAACCACGGGCAACGGTAGAAGAATTTCACTATGAGAAAATAGGAATTACAACCTCTCTCGATCTACCAAGGAGAAAACAATGATAATTCTCTCTAGATAAAAAAAGGAGAAAACAACTCTCAAGAAACTCTCTAAAATCTCTCTAGTATTAGAAGAAAACTAAAATACTTTGGGATGATTTTGAAGCTAAATGAGCTAAGGTATTTATAGTTGAAGCTTAAGGACTAATTTGTAAATATCCTAAATTTTAATGACTAGAATTTATAATTTGCCCATATTAAAAATCAACAATTTCTACACCTAATTTTCGATGCCTACAATTGTTGACAAAATATATATATTTTTTTAAACCATGCACTTTCGGTGCATTGATTTTCATCAGACTATTCATATCACGAGCCCTCCATGTGACATCCTCATCTTCATGACTAGCCAAGATGAGATTGAGGCGACTTGTCATGCCCTTACAGAACGAATTGAGCATCCTACCTCCACCAATAAAGTTGTTCCTAAACTACTCATACTCCCAATATACTCGCAGTTGCCTGCTGATTTGCAAAGATATTCCATAAGGCTGAAGACGGAGCTCGCAAATGCATTGTTGCCACTAACATAGCTGAGACATCCTTGACTGTAGATGGGATTTTTTTTATGTTATTGATACTGGGTATGGTAAAATGAAAGTCTATAACCCCAAGATGGGTATGGATGCCCTTCAAGTTTTTCCCGTTAGTCGAGCTGCTGCTGACCACCATGCGGTACGTCTGGTAGAACAGGGCCAGGCACATGTTATAGGTTGTATACAGAGAGTGCGTACTTAAATGAGATGTTGCCAGCTCCTGTGCCTGAGATACAAAGGACCAAGCTTGGCAATGTAGTGTTGCTGCTTAAGTCTCTTGCTAGATTTTGATTTCATGGATCCACCACCACAAGAAAATATCCTTAATTCTATGTACCAGTTACGGGTCCTGGGCGCCCTTAACAATGTGGGGGCATTGACCGACATTGGATGGAAAACGGTGGAGTTCCCGTTGGATCCCCCACTTGCCAAGATGCTTCTGATGGATGAACGGCTAGAATGCCTAGATGAGGTTTTGACCATAATTTCTATGCTTTCAGTCCCATCGGTGTTTTTTCGACCCAAGGATAGAGCAGAGGAGAGTGATACTGCCAGGGAAAAGTTTTTTGTACCAGAATCTGACCACTTGACATTGCTCAATGTTTATCAGCAATGGAAATCTAATCAGTATCGAGGAGACTGGTGTAACGATCACTTTTTGCATGTTAAAGGGTTGAAGAAAGCCCGAGAGGTGAGATCTCAGCTACTAGATATTCTGAAGACCCTGAAAATTCTGCTAACTTCCTGTGGTTATGATTGGGACATTATCCGCAAAGCCATTCGTTCTGCATACTTCCACAATGCTGCAAGATTAAAGGGTGATGGAGAGTATGTTAATTGCAGGAATGGAATGCCCTGCCACTTGCACCCCAGCAGTGCTCTTTATGGTTTGGGTTATACTCCGGAATACGTTGTTTATCATGAATTGATTTTGACGACAGAGTACATGCAGTGCGTTTCAGCGGTGGAGCCGCTGTGGCTGGCTGAGCTAGGTCCCATATTCTTTTCGGTGAAAGAGTCGGATATGACACTGTCGGAGCATAAGAAAAAGCAAAAGGAGGATAAGAGTGCAATGGAGGAGGAAATGGAAAATTTGAGGAAGGAGCAAGCCGAGACAGAAAGAAAGCAAGCAGAAGGAACGAAAGAAGAGAACAAAGCAGCAGCAGCAGCAGCAAGTTTCAATGCTGGTTTGCGTCAGGGTTCTTCTACTTATCGCAGACCAAAAAAGTTCGGTTTGTAGATGCATATTACATAGCATTCACTGATGTTGAAAGCATCAATCTCTAAACTGACAGAAAGCGTAAAGAAAAAAATCTCGTATCATAATTCAGCTCAGTAGAGGGCAGGGAACCTTAAAATGCATGAACACTTTCATATCACAAATGCATGATCATGCTATGCTTATCAAAGTCATCTACACAGGAAAGGAATTTAAAAAGATAATATACATATAAATTTAAAAAAAGTAGTGTTTTATTGCTTTGAAATTCTACACCAGTGATGGCAATTGATAGTACCGTGTTTTATTAAAAGATGAAATGGTCAAAGTTTTGCCATCAAACCATCCTGAAGGGTCTTGGGTACCACATTTTCTTTGACATCCCTGTCTTTAGTTTCCAATTCACATGCATTCGGAGGGACATCCACTGCCGGAGAGCAGTTAAAGAATCCATGCGGCTGCACATCACAAACACACCAAATTATCTAAAGCCTCGGTGGTCATAACTCATAAGCATGAAGAAAGCATATGAGATTACTATGGCAATTCGAATTAGATGGTTTACCATCAGCATGAAACCAATGCGCTCCACCGGCATAACAGGCCAGTCTTCCAATCGAGGCACATGTGTAACTCCAAATACATACCTGCAGTAATAAGGTAGCTTGAGAAGACACCAATGCTTTATTGGCAAGCAGCCGTGAAGCTTAAAGTGTTAAAAATCCTATGCTTTAAAGTTTAATGAGAAAGAGCAGTTTAACCAACCAGAGAACTATATCAGTTTCCTCAAGAGAACGATCCTGCTTGACCCATGTAGCCAATCCTTCGCCAACACGTGAATTTTGATTTGGAAACTCTCCTCCAGGAAACATCTCATCAGGAGCATACTGAGTAACCCAAAGGTTATGCTTTAAGAAAGCAGCTCTTCTTAAAAACTTGGCCTCAGAACCAGCTAACGGTAGACAGTTCGAGCCAGGTACAAGTTTGTAACCAGTCAATTGACCACTCCTGTTCACCGTCCTTGTATTCCTCACCTGGAATATGTTGCATATGTAATTATGCCATTTACAATCAAAAGTGAGAACAAATATATAGATCTCTTATTTATAAGACAAAAATAGGATAAGCACTATTAATATTGTGCCATTACAATACTACTATCCCAAAAAGGAAGTCCCATGCCTCACATCTTACACTTATCTACTTAATGAAAAACACAACTAAGAAATGATTACCAATTAAAAATACTTATTCCAATACAAGTCAATCAATTGGACACAGTTCCAGGTGCAATTAACGTTAAAAACAATCAACTGGGTACACCACTCTGAAGCTATGAGCATATGGTGAAACCCATAAAACCAACATTTACATGTTAAGGGTTCAGGAGGTAGAAGAAGGGTACAGATAAAGTTTGAAGAAACAATGGTTAACGGTCAGACCAAGATTTATTTTCCTTTTAGCCTTTTCACCTATTTGATTCTTTGAATCAATTCCTAGAGTTTCAGTTTCTCACTCATGATCATTCTTCTGTATTTTTTCAGAATTTCATTCAAAATAAAGTATGTTCATTCAACTTAGCTATTAAACATATTAATTTACTATATCTTCCAATATCAGTATATTTTATTTATTTGATGTTTGAAACTTTTAAATATTAAAACTTTTTAAATTTTTTAAATTAATATTGGCATATAAGCATATTGATGTACATGTACGAGATAGAGATGTGTTCTTATTTACATACAAAATTATATTTTGTAAGGAACTTGGAAGTTGGAAATGATATATATATATATATATATATCTTGCGTGTGTGTGTGTTACTAGGACTCAGGTGTGATAGTTCAGTATGGGTATGTGTCCAAACACTAGAACGGTTAGATTTTTCTAAGTTAAACCTTGTATTTGGAGGATGCTTGGGGTCATTTCCGTCTATCCATGTATTGGACATAAGTATTACTAGAAAAATGAGGAGTTGGAGCAACATAGTGTGTGTGTGAAAAAAGAAATATTAAAATGTCGATAAGCCTGAAACGACAAGTAGAAAACATATCAGTACTTATGTATCAATACCAAAAACAAAAATGGTATATCTACCTGTAGGATAGTATTACTAACTACTTTGGTAGCAAGAGGGAAGAAATCATGTGATTTCTAGAAAATATTATGTAACAAAAAGAGAACTAGACAACTTTAAGAAAGGAGAAACAAAAGTTAGTCGCCACAATTTTCTGGAGAACATAAAAGTTGGTACTTCTATGCAGTAAAAGCACCTATATTCAAAATCAAAGACAATTTTTTTCTGATAATATGAAAAGTCCAAGGCATACCAGGAATAGAACAAATAAGCCCAGACAAGTAACACAAACAACCAATTCAACCCAAAGACACGTAATTCTTACAATCCAATGGCGAGCTGTTGAGGGATTACAATCACGCATTGCTTGGAGTTCTGTTTTAAGCAGGGTCTCTTCTGCATAGAACGCATTATTATGAATGTTATTTTCACCAGGTTCCTCAACTTTAGCATTGACCTCAACAACCTGGAAATATAGTGGAAATGATGTCATATAGTAGAGAAACATTTTAATATGTAAGAAAATAACAATCCAAAAATTCAAAGTCATATACCTGATTGAAAGCTTCCCCGGGTTTGCAATCAATAGCCATGTCCATACGAGCCACAAAGAAGTGTTGATGAACGGGTGCGTATAAACCTGGGGCAATCATTGTGCCATATTTTCGAGATTCTCCAGGCTGTAATGCTCCTAAGCTAAGAATTCCTGTAAGCTTAACTTCAGCTTCAATCTTTCCATCCTGTAGTCACCAATAATAAAAGGTCAATGAAATCGTTAAAAGGCACACGAAGTCATAACAACATAGAAGTTTGTCACACAGTTAAGATTCAATATGCAACTTCCCTAAATGTGCCTTGAGACCTCTCTAAATGTTTTCAACAGTATGCCTGTATGTAATGTATACAAATTCATATTTAAATATAAATTTTCATCATTTGTTCATATGAATTTTATATTTCATGTCTATCATATATTTTATTAGGTTTTAAAATGATATAGTAGCCATTTGCATCTCTGGCACCACATTTTAGCATGTCATGTCGGTAGACTTACCTGATAAAAGTGCCAGAAAAATCCGTACTCATAATTAGCAACAGTGCATATGAAAGACACTGTTAGCCGCCTAGACCTTCGAACTTCAGCCAAACCTGTTCTCCAATCTTGATGCTTCCATAAAATCCCATGATCCTCTTCATGCAGACAGACACAGTTTTCAATCGTTTCAACACCTCCAGAGAAATCTGTAAAGTGAGCATCAAAGAATTTGATATAGCCGAGACAATCACATCCCTGAAACAGCAATTTTGTTTTGAATAAATTTTAACTTCATTAGAAAAAGAGCACTATGTAAATTCCAAATTACATAATACAAAGAGTAGGCGGACTAATGATCAAACCTTTTTGAGAGAATGTGCATTTTTCCCAAGGCCATCTTCCCCAGCATCAAAAGCATTCTTTCGGTAATGTGGATCATTTGGATCCCCATATGGCACAACCATCTCCACAAAACTCAATCTATGAGCAACAGACCTTCGACCTCGACTACCATCAACATATGCAATAGAGTATATAACCAAGCCCTCCTTTGGGGTGAAACCAATACGGAAATTCCACTATCAGCAATAGAGAAAAAAGCAGAACGTTCATGAGTTTCTGCATTCAGCAAGAAATATAACCAATTTGAACAAATGCAGACGTACCATCTGCCACTCGACAAAACACCCACTAACACGAAAGCTTGGACCTTCTGGCTGAACAATCTGTAAGGGTTTCACATCACTTCGATCAGCACCGCCTCTTGTTTCTCCAGAAGTATAATTCCTCAAGGGATCAGTCGGAGGTAAAGGAACAAATTTAAGGTCTTCAAACTCAATCACCTTCATCTTTTGCATATCAACAAGTACTAAAATTCCCTCAACTGGGCGAGCATAGCCATTTTCCATGGGACAGTCACTTTCAGTTCTGCAGAATATAAGTGGTTTAGCAAGTCTTCTGCTAGGAGAATCAGCATCGCTATAATAACCAACACACCTGTTGAAAATGGATTTAAACCCAATGTACAAATATAAGCGCATGAAGCAAATCAAAACACTTGGGCAAACATTTAATATGCAAATGAAATGCAGATATAACTAACCAAGGATCAACCATCACAAGGTCCATGTCCTCAATACCCCTCTTCTTCATTGCTTCTCGGAATGGAGGAAAGTCTTTCACAACAGCTTCACATTCAGCATATTCCATAGCATCCTGAAAGGAATACAAAACTGAGAAATAAAATATGAAATGGTAATGCTTTTGGTAAGTTCCCCTTAACCTAACATTCGCACTTGGACTGGGGGGAGGGGCATCCGATTATGTGTATGTCCCCGACACAGGTATGTTCAATTTGTAGTGAAGTTTTTCTATATATTTGGAGGCTCAAACATCCATACACAGGTAAGTTGGATAATTCAAGGGATAAATGAGTCTGATAGCATAACACTCAACTGCAATTAGTCTAGAATTCTAAAATCTAGCAATTGAAAAAATATAAATCATAGATGTCCATGCAGGGAGATAGATTTACCATAGGAGGCTGAACATCTGGAACAACTTGAGATGATATTACTTTTCCTCTGTGATGCCCTCCTCGAGTTACTGCATGTACTTCTGATAACTCAACAATCCAAATACTTGTCTCATTGGAAATTTTGTTATAGACAACCAATCTAGCTCGCCTGAGAGGGAGCTTGGTAGGGATCACTGGGCCCTTTTTAGTCCTGGGAAGTAATGAGGGTTGGAAAGGTGGGAAGAAATAAGCATCTGCCAAAGCAACAACATGCTTGTCTGGCTCCAAAAGAACAACTTCCACAAAGCGCATGCTATCTCTTACCTGAAAACCAAAAAAAAAAAAAACTTTAGCTCGACATTTTATACAAACATCAAAAAAGTCTTCAGCGCAATGATTTGGAAAAGATATAATAGATGACAAATAAAGGCATTATACATAAATTAGCAACCTCAGGAGTGGCTCCAGCAGCCCTGACAGTAGCAATTGCTACAGAGATCTCAGCAGCAGATAAAGGGTCCAAAGGATGGCTGGTTTGAGGCCTTGTCAAGATTTGGATCCCTGCACAATCAACGAAGGAACCTTTTTGAGTCCAATAGAGAGAAAATCCTTGTCGACATCAGAGCGCAAAACACACAAATCCCAGCATAACTCTCAAACACGCTGGGTTAAACGCAAAATTATTAATTGATCGTAAGTTAAATGAAATTAGTCAACAAGCCGCAAATAAAAAATAAAAGGTCAAAGTTAAGCATTAAGTAATTAATTGATCGTCCTTTCTCAAAGAAATTTTACACTTTCAAGATTCTCTCATGATAACAATAAAATATAGATAAATAAAAGAAGAAATACACATGCATTTGGTGCAAACTAGAACCGTAGTCAAGATTTCTTTAAAAAATAATATATCGAAGTCTGAGATTTTAGTTCATGAAATCCGTGGATGATTAATCCCCGGGGAACGATGTAGTAAATCAAGAATCTGAAAAACATGAAATAATAGAGAAAGAAAACCGTAATAACAAGTAAACCGGCCAGGATCTAAAAAGAAGATCATGTGCAAAGCCAACACAATTAGAGAGAGAGATGCCTTTGGTGGATGCAGTGGCGGAGGTATCAGGAAGAGGATCAACGGGGCGAATCACGGACGCCATGGCAGCTTTGGTGGCGCGTTGATCCGCAGAGGTGACCGTCCAGTCGTGTAGCACATTGGAGGCGGAGGCGGGAAGAGGCGCGGTGGAAACGACGGAGCGGGGAGCGCAACATGAAGAAGGGGAAGACGATGATGAAGAAGAAAGAAGCGTCGTCGTTTTCTTAGCTGAGGCCATTGTAAAGGGTTCGCGAGCTCTCCAAATCCACCGCAGTTAGTCTCAATACAATCTACTGACATACAGCAAAACTGACTGTGCGTCTCACTCTTGTATCAATCTTTTATATAAGAAAAAAAAAACAAGGAAACAAAGAGAAGAAAGGCGAAGCAAGTTTAGATCAAAGATTTGTTGCAGTTGAGTGGTAATTTAAAAAGGAAAGGGCTCGCATTTTCATCGGGAAAAAAGAGGTGTGACTTTGAGGAAAGAAATGAAACCAGAAAGGAAAATCATGGGAAAAAAAGGAAAGCAATTAGCAATGCTGGAGATGGAGGAAAAAGGAAGCTCCGTTATATACTCTGCTACTCTTTCTCCTCCTCCACGGGGAACCACGTGCATCCTTCTCACTCCACTTTTGTTTTTGGTTACATCTTGATTTTTCTTTTAATTAACAACAACAATTAATTGAATAATAATTACTATAATTAAAATTATAAGAAGGGTTTACAATTAATTATAAGAAACAACCTAATAGATAGTAGAAAAAGAAAGAAACTATTTTTTTAAGATAAAAAGAAAGAAAATTTTAGGTAAATCTTTTATATTGTTTTAAATTTATAAATATTCATCTTTATATTATAAAATTTTAAAAATAATTATAGATTTAGTCTACACCGTTTTTTTAAATCATTATTTTAATAATTTTATCAAGTTTTTATGATTATACTATTCATGGTCCAAATTTTGAATAAGAAATACAAATGTCATTTAATTATTGTAAAAAAAACTATCCACAAGATAAAATAAAAGAAAAAGAAGAGAGGTGGTGTGTTGGCTCGGCTCCACTTTGTTTTGTATATATATTTGTAAATTTGGGTGCTTATATAATGTAATAATGATGTTGATATATAAGAGGATAAGTGGGGTGATACATGGACTGATAGGAATGGTGGATCTTACTGTCCTTTTTTCTGATATTAACTTTCTAAGACCTTACAGCTTTCCCTTATTTCTCTAAAAGGACTTTCATTTTACCTTTTTTACGGGACAGGCCCAGACGTTTGCTTTCTTTTCTATTTCACTAATGACGCCAGCTATCACGAAAAATTAAGGTCCGTTCGTTTTGTTGAAATATTTTTCGTAAAATGAGTTACATTTTTTTATAAGTATTTTTTAGAAAATGTTTAACATACAACAACAAAATCATATTCACATATGCAATAGGGTAAGGGAGATGTAGAGTAGTAGGCTGCCTCCAATACTAAGTTGAGAGCAGCTTCCGTGGAAGACCTCTGGCAGTTAGAAAAATTAAAAGTAAAGATAGAAATGCTATGCATGTATAAATAAATAAATAAATAGTTGAACAATCTTCATATGCAGTCTACATACGTGCGTATGAAATATGAAGTAATCCTTGCAAATAAATTTCTGCATAAAAATCTCTGCATATAGACAGAAACGTAAGACCCGACTAATATTTAAAAAGAGCAAAACTTGAAGTAAATGATACACAAAATTCAACGATAGTAAGCAACAAGAAGGAATAAAGTCAAATGTGTTAAAACCTAAACTAAAACAACACTACTCCGCTACCGTAGTTCTAAGCCTTCATAAATTCCAATGACATAAACATATAAAAAGAAGAAGTCATGGAAATTACTACAAATGCATAAAAAGAAGACATAAATGATATACCCTATGGATGTGATATGTACTACTCAGTTACCTTGATCTTAAGTCTCCATACTTTCCTATCAGAGGTCATGTCCTCAGTAAGGGCTAAATCCTTTAAATCAAATCTCAAGCAGTCTTTCCACTTCCGTCTTGGTCGTCCTCTCCTTCTGGCACCGTCGACTGTAATCGACTCCACCCTCCTGACCGCATCCGATGGTTGTCGCCTAAGGACATGCCCAAACCACCGTAGTATTCCCTCCATCAATTTTTCGGGTATATGCACCACCCCCAAGGACATCTTAATAGCAGAGTTTGGTGTCATGTCCCACAGAGTCCTACCACATGCCCATCGAAGCATTCTCATTTCTGCGGCCTCCATCCTCCTTACGTGATCCTTTTTGATTGCCCAACATTCTGATCCATACAGCAACGCTGATCTTATTGCCATTATATAAAATTTTCCCTTAAGTTTTAGAGGCACATTCTTGTCACACAAAACTCCGGTAGCTGCCCTCCACTTTAGCCATCCCGCCTTTATACGGTGTGTAACGTCATCATCCACACCCCCATCTTTATGTTTAACATAGATTGTGTAAATCATTTTTCACTAGTCGATGAATCTTTTAGAAAGTATTAAAATAAAAATATAATATTTTATATTATTATAATATAATTGAGTATATTATTATATTATTAATTAAAAATATAATATTATGTTATTAAAATTATTAATAAATAATATTTTGATAAAAATGATATTAAAATATTATATTAATATTAAATATATAAAATAAAATTACTTTGAGTATTTATAAAATGGTATTCTGACTATAAAAAATTATTTTATTAAGTCTCTAAACTATTAAAATTACAAAATAATCATTCGACTGTTCATTATGTTATAAACTCTTCGTTTTTCATTAAAAAATTAACGGTCATCTAAGCTAGATGTTAACGTACTGATTGACATAGATAGTCGTTTGAGATTTGAGATCATATTTTATCATTTCTCAATCAACAAGTTAACGTCTAGCTCATACTGTTGTTACGACAAAAATATGAGTTTGGAACATAATGAATAGTCAAGTGACAATTTTGTAACTTTTAATAGTCGAGGGACTCAACAAAACAACTTTCTATAGTCATTAATCATTTAGTAATTTTTAATAATCATGAAATTGAATAAAATAATATCTTATAATTAAGAGATCATTTTTATACCTTACCTATAAATTAATCATTTTAAATGTTTGATATTAAATTTGTCTATAATAGATCTTTATAATATCAAACCTATATTGATTAAGAAATAAATTAAATATAAATGATTTTAAGAAATTATTCTCCACACTTAGTTCATATAATAATCCATCGATATATACTTTAATCAGTGGACTCGTCCTTATCTATTCCCTATTTAGAATATAAAGTAATTAATTAGTAATAATGTTGGACTTGTTGTCAATATGCTTGTGGAGAATCTTTAATAGCCAAAAAAAAAATTAATAAATCAACTTGTTTTTATAAAAGATCAAATGACCCATAATATATGAATAACCTCACATATGGATATGGATAGATCGAGAGTCATTATCTTAAAAAATTTAAATTCGACTATCACATTGTGATTTACATATTCGCATTGCGATAGTCGAAGTTCGCGTTTCGATTTTCTAAATTCGACTATCGCAACGCGAACTTCGACTATCACATTGCGATTTACATATTCGCATTGCGATTTACATATTCGCATTGCGATTTACATATTTTCATTGCGATAGTCCAAGTTCGCATTGCGATTTTCCAAATTCGACTATCGCAACGCGAACTCCGACTATCGCATTGCGATTTATTCCAAATTCGTTGCGATAGTCGAAGTTCGCGTTGCGATTTATTTCAAATTCGTTGCGATAGTCCAAAATCGCAACGACTGGTGGTATTGCATTTGTTTCTTAAAAATTTTCTCTAAAAAGATAGTATTCACGCGGACGTGTCGAAGACACGTATTACCATTACCATTACCACGACCACGACCACGAGCACGACCACGACCCGAGACGAGACGAGACGAGACGGACGGCGGCGGCGGCGGCGCGCAAGAGTCCCCCTTGTTCTCTATCACTCAACAAGGAAGTGGGAAATCCAAGTCTTAAATACCATTCGCAATAGTGTTTCCAATACTATGTGGGATTGAGCATTACCGACACTTGTTTCCAATACAATGTGATTATTCAGGAAACAATTAACAATCATGCACCTTAAAACAACTAAATCAGCAACCAATTGCATTAATATTATACGATTAAATATGTCATAATTAAAAGTCAATCTACAATCAATCGCGATTATTGCAATTTTAAGCAAAACATTCAAAAATAATATCACTATTTAAGGCTCAATCCCACATAGTATTGGGAACAAGTGTTGGTAATGTTCAATCCCACATATTATTGGAAACACTATTGGGAATGATATTTAAGGCTTGGCTTTCCCACTTCCTTGTTAAGTGATAGAGAACAAGGGGGACTCTCGCGCGCCGCCGTCGCCGCCGTCGCCGCCGTCCTGTCTCGTGGTCGTGGTCGTGGTAATACGTGTCTTCGACACGTCCGCACGAATACTATCTTTTTAGAGAAAATTCTTAAGAAACAAATGCAATACCGTCGTTGCAATTTTGGACTATCGCAACGAATTTGAAATAAATCGCAATGAATTTGGAATAAATCGCAACGAATTTGGAATAAATCGCAACGCGAACTTGGACTATCGCAATACGAATATGTAAATCGCAATGCGATAGTCGAAGTTCGCATTGCGAATATAGAAACTGATTTGCGATACCGGAGATCGCGTTGCGAATTATCGATCGCATTGCGATTTAGTTGGTCATTTTGATAAATCTAAAAAAAATTGATTAAAATCGTATATTATAAGACATTTTTGGTCACTGAAATTATTTTCTCTTTTATTTTGGATTTTTCGGTTATGATGGGTAAATATAAAAACCCACAAAAGATGACTGTAAAGAGGGGATGATTTTCAAGAAGAAAAAAATATAGTGTAAGGGCTCTCATATCTTCCCTTTCCCATTTAAAAAGATAGAGGAGGGCTCCAATTTTCCTTTTCCTCTCAAAAAAGTGTAACAGAGAGTTATTTACTTATTCAAAAATATAAAATGCCATAGAAAATAGCATTGTAAGGTCTCTTTACCTTCACTTTCATTTTTTAAGAGCCTTGTTGCCTTTTTTGTGTGTTCGTAAAAACAAAGTAAAATAGGAAATGGGTTAGAGTTTTTTTGGTTACTTTGTTCATAGGTTCTCGCCGGAGTGAGGAAGTGTCGTCATCGTCGAAGTGAGGAATATGAGAGGTCAGAGGCCTATTCGCCCGTTTGGGCATTTGCATGTTGTTCTAGGTTTTTTCTTTTGGGGTTTAGATGAGGTGAAAGGGAGAAGGCTTTGAGGTATTTGTGTTAGGTCTAGGCTTGCTTTTGGTGGCCGGAGTGAAGTAAGGCTGAGTTACGGCCAGGGGTCGTTGGTCAGAGGGGATGATTGTTTAACACATGAGAAAATCATTTTTGACCTTTTTAAAATAAAAGTGTCCCAAAGTGAAATCCTACAAAATTTGAGAATGAGAGAAAAAATGTTCATTTATTTAAATTATTCGAGAAAAGATCATTAGAATGTATACAACAACAACAACAAAACCCAATTCTCATATGTATGGGGTAAGGGGGAGGTAGGGTAGTAGGCTGCCCCCAACGCCAGGTTGAGAATAGCTTCCGTGAAAGACCTCCGGCAGTCAAAAAATTAAAAATATTGATAAAATGCAATGCATGTATAAATAATTACATAAATACATAGCTAAACAGTATTCATATGCAGTCATTAATACCATATGTGCTTCTGTAATGGGGAGTAATCCCTGTAAAATAATCCCTGCGAAAGAATCTCTGTATATAGACAGAAACATAAGACCCGGCTAAATTTATACAGAGGAAACATGACGAGAATGATACACAGAAGACAACGATATCAAGCCCAGTTCTAATCATTCATAAATACCAATAACAGAAAAGTATAAAAAGTAAAAGTCATGGAAATTACTACAAATGCCTTTAAAAGAAGACAAAGATGATACACCCTATAGATTGGACCCACACTACTCGACTACCATAGTCTTAAGCCTCAATAATTTCCTATCATAGGTCATGTCTTCGGTAAGGCCTAAATCCATCAAATCATATCTCAAGCAGTCATCTCACTTCCGCCTTGGTCGTCCTTTCCTTCTGGCACCGTCGACTGTAATCGACTCTACCCTCCTGACCGCATCCGACGGTAGTCGCCTAAGGACGTGCCCAAACCACCGTAGTCTTCCCTCCCTCAATTTTTCGGAAACAGACACCACCCCTAAGGACATCCTAATAGCAGAGTTTGTCGTCATATCCCACAGAGTCCTACCACATGTCCATCGAAGCATTCTCATTTCTGCGGCCTCTATCCTCCTTACGTGATCCTTCTTGGGTGCCCAACATTCTGATCCATACAACAGCGCTGGTCTTATTGCCATTCTATAAAATTTTCCCTTAAGTTTTAGAGGCACCTTCTTGTCACACAAAACTCCACTAGCGGCCCTCCACTTCTGATCATTAGAATGTATAAAAGGTCAAATCTCGACGTCTTTAAATAATCGAATACTCTTCTTCTTTCTAAAAAAGATTGGTAGTTTTTAATTTAATTTGTTTCATGCATTCGAACGTTACAATAGAATCGTAATATTTTTTTTATTGGAGTAGGAATTGATTGCCTCAAGGTATGAGAGGTTGATTATTCTCGATGGGAAATAATTAAATATTATTATGATATATTCTAAAATTCAAAAAAAATTATTCGAAGGGATTATTAACTAAATTAAATTAAAACTTGTAGATTTCATTGCAAAGATAATTAATTAATCGATTAGGTAACGATTTATGGCGTTGTGAGGTACTAATCATTCCCTACGCGTAACCGACTCCCTAACTCAATTTTCTGGTACACATACCGTAAATTTTTTATTTTAATTAAAATTAATATTTTTATTAAAATAACAAATATGTTTTTTGAGTGCTAATCCAGTTTGAACCTTTTAAGATTGAAGCTTATAAAAAGTTAGATAGGACCAATGACTTATGTGAAGTGCAATGCCTACACAGGTCAACTTATGTGAAGTTTATGCGAAAAGAAGCAGCAGAGAATTTGCTGCTATAGTAGATGGGTTCTGATGAGGTGGGAAAGGTGGGGAGGGAAGGAATACGGTGGTGGTGGGTATTTGAAAAAATTTGAAAATTATAAAGTTTTGGAGGTAAATTATATATGAAATCATTGTTTAATGATTTATTTTACGTTTTAGTAGTAGTTTAGGGGTAAAATTAAAAATTAACCTTTTAATTAACGTTTACACGTCATCAATTTAATTTAAAGAACATGACAATGAGTGAGCATTTCGTTACATATCGAAAACATTAGTGAACATTTTGTTATATATCGTTAATGTTAGTGACAATTTTGTAACTTTCAAAACTTCAATGAGAAAAACAAAAATTTACTAAATTTTTTGTGATAATTTGTATAGTTTACCCATTCTTTTGTCATAGGGGAAGTTCTACTGTAGAGATGCCTAATTTAATTTAAGACTAAGGAAAGACAAAAAATGAGCACATCTGAAAGTATGATAAAAATATAACATTTTCGATAGAGCGCAACCTAAAATATTTTTTTTCCTAATATTATATGTTGAACAAAAATGTTAAGAAAAAATTAACATTTTAAATTGCGTCTAACGAAAATGTTATATTTCATTTTATTACATTTTCAATTGCGTCAATTACCTACCATTTCTTAACTTTAAATTAGGCGGTTGTACCTCATTAACAAAGTGATTACATGACCTTATAACTCAATTCACCATTTGGCCCCAATCGATCAGTCCCCTTGTACAGGCTTTTCACCTTTGACTTCAGCAACCTTTTCATCAGAGATGGAACCAATATCAAATATTGGGAGGGACAAGATACTTAAATATATAGTTTTGTCTCTGTTCGTCACTCACCATTTGTCATGGATAACTTTAAGGCACCACCGTAACTTACTGACCCTCCATTAGACTTACATCATTAACATCAGGCTTCACCTCAATCGTCATTGATGGTTGAACAAACGACATAGGTGGAGCTGTATAGGGACGGACGTAAAATTTTATGTTAGAAATAAACTTAAATTTATAAAATTTTAAGGGGAAGAACTTGAAATTATAAAATTATAAGGGGACGAAAACAATTTTTTTTAATAGAAAATATATAATTTTTTTTTAAAATATATAATAAATTTAAATTTTTAGAGGGCAACCGCCCGCCTAGATCGATCCCTGGAATGCTGCATCCTCCTCCGCTTTCTTTTCAAGTTGGTCCATGTTATATTGGTTTCTTCTCAGGCTTAATCCTGTGACTTGCTATTGCGGGCTTAACCCACTGCAACCAAAGAATCCTTATTTTCTACATGTCAAAGAGGATCATGCAGTGCAACCAAAGGTTTGAAACAAAGACACTAATCAGTTTTTGAAGTGGAATTCACTGGGGAACCAAATCATTAACATCACCGATTACATTACTTGAAAAAGAAAATAAGTGAACTAATTAAGCAAATTCTCAAAGTGAAAGGAGCTTATTGCATGCTATACATTTAACTGATACCAAAAGGTGCATGCAGATCAATTAATCTACTGTCGTGGCTCCACAAGCATATATAATATCTTTTCATTTACTCCGTGTTGCCCTTGCAAAATATACATGTACTGAATTTAATTTAAGGGAAAAGCTTGCAAAATATTAATGACTTTGGGAAGTGAGGCACATCTCTAATGGCTTCAGAAATGGCCTTCAACCTTGGGTCATCTTGTAAACCATTCTGATATCCAGCAAACATGTTTTTCCCCTGCAATAAGCTTGCTTTTACTGTCTTAAATTATGCTAGTGTTGGAAGAAAAGAAAGAAACGAGTGTTCTTGTTGGTTTATGCGGGCTTAACTTAAAAGAAGGGAAGGAAGAGTAAATAATAATGTCAATATCTTTGTTTGCCAAAATGCACCACTTAAGAGAAACCAATCTAAGGTGGACCAACCTGAAAAGAAAGTGGAGGAGGTGAAGGTAGAGCCACTGGAAGATAATGTAGCGACACCTGTGTCGTCTGATCAACCACCAACGACAATTGAGGTGAAGCATGCATGATGGTAATGCTGCAAGTCTAATGGAGGGGCAGCAAGTTACGGCGGCGCCTTCGAGTGATCCGTCGAGAAATGATGAGGGTGAAAAGGTTGCTGAAGTCATAGGTGAAAAGTCTCCAGAAGAGGATGATTAAGTGGAGTCAAAAGGTATCACTTTGTTAATAAATTATACGAGTGACTAAAAAAATCAATGCATGAAGTTTGATTATTAAATTGAAAGTTTTTAAACTTAAATGACCAAAATAAGAGTAATAATAAAGTTAAGTGATAATGTTTATAGTTTACCCTTTTAAAAATGATAAGTATGATATTTTTCGACCTTACAAAAATCAGCGCAGTTCTTCACTCAGTCAAGTTCCCGCTTCCAAAAATAGGCTCAATTATCTCTTTTAGCTTATCTCATTAAACCTTTGACATAAATGCTCAATCTTTAGGGTTTAGTCTCCTCTTTCGGCATTCCCAGACCTGAAGAAGCCAATGCAGTTAGTGCTTTTGGGAGGTTTATCTTCCGCTTTCACACCAGTTAAAGCACCAATAAAAATGGCAGCTTCCACTTCCCTCTCGCTTTTTCCGTACAGATTCTGTTACAGACCAAGCCCTATAAATCGTTACATTTCTTGCTCCGTCGGCTTTCCTACTCCCATAGGTATTTCATTTTTTTTTCTTTTTAGAACTCTGTTTGATTGCCGAGAAAGTGAAGTGGAAAGAGATTATGAAGCTTTTATGTTTTTGTTTATTTTAAGCTAGATGGAATGTTATAGTGGTTTTTGAGTGCTTTTCGAATGATGAAAATAAGATGAATTGGATGGTTTTAGCGTTTATTGACTAATATTTTTTTATAGATAGTGGAACAAAGGATAGAGAAACAAGTTGCAAGTTTTAGTCCAATCTTTATAGGATGTTGGATTGGATAAATAGATTATCTAGATTGTTGCATTCAGTGATAATGGTGGTTACTATTTTCTGTTGTTTTAGGTACACGAAGAACTAAAATTCCACTTAAAAGTTCAGGAAGATTAGATGGGGCTAGAAAAAGTATGGAAGATTCTGTCCAACGCAAGATGGAGCAGTTTTATGAAGGAACTGCTGGGCCACCGCTTCGAGTCCTTCCGATTGGTGGCTTGGGTGAAATCGGAATGAATTGCATGCTTCTTGGGCATTATGACCGCTATATTATAATTGATGCCGGTGTTATGTTTCCAGAGTAAGTATTGTGCATTTCATATCCAGAAGGATTTTGGACTAAATACTTTTATGTGTAATTCATGCTTAAGGAGAGAAAGTTAGTTTTAAGTTCTAATTTCTGTTGCTTTTTTCCCCCTGAAATTTCCTAATGTCAGAAGACAACCCGATTTTGACTAGGTTGATGTTTTACTTGTGGAAATATACGTCAAATGTGTTGATACTGATACGGTTACTTTAATTTCTATGCTCTTCTTTATTATATTAATGTTGCACTGTATTTGACATCATTTCAGCTATGATGAGCTTGGAGTCCAAAAGATTATACCTGATACAACATTTATTAAGAAATGGAGCCACAAAATTGAAGCAGTTGTGATAACACATGGCCATGAAGATCACATTGGTGCGTTGCCTTGGGTAATACTTGTCTGCCATGCCTGTTAAATATTGTATGCTTACCTTTTCCTCACCTGTTAAACAGTTCTTAATAGTGTATCTAAACTTCTTATCACTTTCTTTTTTCTCGGGTATGCCATGTTTTCCCAAGTGTGGTATGTTTATAGTGCATTGCATATATTAATGCCTCCAGCTTCCTATTTTATCAAGCATGCCATGGTTTGTGCAGAAGTTCTTTCTTTCTATTGCGACTTTATAATGTTGTCAAGGATAGTACTATTTTTTCTTTTGAGCATAGTGTAATAGTGCTCTTTATGGTTGAGACTTGAGTGAATCTATTGTTGCTCTCATTTGAATTCTTGCCATGCTTGGTAGAATGATTTCTTTTTGTGGAAGTTTGGTGTTCCGTGTTTGGGAGTTGCAAAATTTTTTATTTCACCGTTTCTAGCTGCCACAAAGCTGTTTTGGCCATTTTCAATGAAACAGTGCATGTAGGTGAATCTAGACAAAATCAAGTTGTTGCTCAAGTAGTAATACTGTATCATCACGCCTACCTGGTTCAGTTTGTGGAACTTAGCTACAGGGAAGGTGTAAATTGTTCTCAGAATTTTGTTTCATTTCTTCTCATTCTATTTAAAAGCTTCACAGTTTCTTCTCTGTACTCTGCTCATTAGTTTTACATCCACTGATTAGTCAGTAAAGCTGGCAACTAATTAAGAATCACAAAACCTAACCATGTCCATACTGCCTAGCTACACTTACACTGGATGAGAACCTTTCAGAGTAATGTATTGCATTGATCTGGGGTTTCAGATATTAATTATCAATAAAGCTGCTTTAGATGGCAATTAGTATGGTCTTGTAAATGGTAGCATAATTGATGACACTAGAGTTTAGCATAGTGTTTATGTTGCATTTTCTTTTTAACATCATATTAGAAGTTCGCTCTCTGTTTGTGCAGGTTATCCCAGCATTGGATCCCCATACTCCCATATATGCATCATCCTTTACAATGGAGGTACTTCTAATAATCAGAAAAATACATGCAATATGAATGCAAAAAGGCACATACTGCTTTTTGAAAACTTACCATGTCTTATTTCATGACATGCCCAGAGGTATTGACAGAAATTACTCATTTATGGATGCTGATCTGAATGTTATAAAATCTCTATGAGCATGACCTTTATCCTAGTTTATGAGAATTGCTCCTTAAAAGTCTATACACCTTTTAATAATTACGATTGTTTGTCTTTGTAGTTCGGTAGCTATTAGAAGTTGTTTTCCTTGTCACAACACGACTGGTCTTACTATTGTTTAGGGTTTATACTTCTTAATTTATTATACTCATCAGTGTGCAAAATGATAACTTACTATTGCATTTTTATTCTGTTGCTGAAAATGAACTGGTGACTCTTGCACTCATGTCAACAGCTGATTAAAAAGCGTTTGAAGGAGAATGGGATTTTTGTACCATCTAGGCTTAAAGTATTTAAAATCAGGAGGAGATTTATGGCTGGGCCATTTGAAATAGAGCCTCTCAGAGTAACCCATTCAATTCCTGATTGTTGTGGATTAGTTCTTCGCTGTGCCGATGGTACAATTCTTCACACTGGGGACTGGAAGGTGGGATTTCCTCCCCTTGCATTTTTATCTTGTTACTATTACGTGACTTTCAGGCCACATAAGCTGTTAAAGTTGACAGATTGATGAATCACCACTGGATGGGAAGAATTTTGACCGAAAGTGTTTAGAGGAACTCTCTAAGGAAGGAGTAACACTGGTAAGCTTCCCGAATCTATTCTCCTTAGTTCTGTGAGAGGGTTTTAGAGCAGATTACAAGGGTCACCTATAGGGAGTGGAAGTGAGTGTGTGTTAAAGGTTCATAAGGGAATTGGAAATGAACTATTAGTTCCATCTACAGTAGTCTGTAACAGAACCAAGTGTAGAAATATGATTGTTTCAATGAATTGACTCATGGTTTATGCATATCTGCTCAGGCTTTTATAATCAACTAAGATGGTTGTTTTGAATATGATATTGCTTTATATTTGAGACTTTTGATTTGTTTCGTTGCAAAATCAAAGATGAACCCTGGCAACTGACACCTTGCATTTCTTATGTCTCTTCTTTTGTTTCCATAGGTTTTTTAAATGATATATTTTGTATGCATTAAATCCACAGAAAGTAAAGACATATATGTTGTCTAGATTTGTCTTGATCTTTTAAGCTAAAATTCTTATGATGCAAATTGAGCTTGTAACTTCTTTCAAAACTGTTCCAAGTACAAATGGATAATTCAGTTAGTGCATATTTACAGATGATGAGTGACTCGACCAATGTATTGTCACCTGGAAGGACAATTAGCGAAACTGCAGTAGCAGATGCATTGTTGAGGCATATTTCAGGTGCTAAAGGAAGGATCATTACTACTCAGTTTGCATCAAACATACACCGGCTTGGAAGTGTAAAGGCTGCGGCAGATTTAACGGGTAGAAAATTGGTATGTTTTGTGTGACCGTAATGCTATCCTGTGAACCTAGTTGTCATAATGATAGTTATTTCAAGTTTGATTTTGATAGCTTAGATATTGTGGTCCCTGATCTAGGTATTTGTTGGCATGTCACTGAGGACGTATCTGGATGCAGCTTGGAAGGATGGAAAAGCACCAATTGATCCATCAACTCTGGTACTCACTCTTTTGAGACTTAGCTCTTTTTTTTTTTACCTGTATAGTATACAGTTTTCTCCTTGTGGCAAGTATCAATCTTTTGCTTTTCTTGTAAGTTATAAGTTTGGTGTTATCAGATTAAGCTACTCAGTTGCTAAACTGCTTTTGTCCAAATTCTGCAGTTCTTGTTTAAGCTCATTTAATGTATATGTAAACCTTTAATGAAATGATAAGATTTGTAATTGGTATCCTCATTTGCTAGTCTTGCCCCTAAGAACGTTTCTTCCAACAAAATTATCCTATAAGATAACTTTTTGTCGCTTACGTGGTGTTAATGTTAGCTCTTATTTTAACGTTAAGCACTTCCAAATTGAATTTGGATATCTTCCTAATGTTATTATTCGTTTCTCATCTTCCTAATAAACTATTTTTTTTTTAAAAAGGAACTATCCTAAGTGGAATGCTTTCTTGCCATGAAAAACTGATTGTTTATGTTCTAATGTTTGCTCTCTGCTCTTTCCATTATGATTGTAGGTGAAAGCAGAAGATATTGATGCCTATGCTCCAAAGGATTTGATAATTGTCACAACTGGATCACAAGTAAGTTGATCTCACTGGTTCCAAATTCCAATGAGCAACACTTTTAGTTGACTCTTTATCTGGCTTGTGGCTGTGCGCTCTATTATGTCAGGCAGAGCCACGTGCTGCCTTGAATCTTGCATCGTATGGAAGTAGTCATTCCTTCAAACTGAACAAGGAAGATGTGATTCTCTATTCAGCTAAGGTAATGATAACGTATGACATTCATTCATTTCTAGCTGAAAAGATTTCTTTGTGCTCTTAATAACTGAATATTTGCTGATGGAAATAAAAAAATGTGGTGCGATTAACTTTTATTGTTCTTTCTAGTCTAACATGAGCTGTCTTGTATCCTATGCCATGGGATAGAGTTTGTTAATCTTTTTACTATATGTTAAGACATTAATTCTTTTACTTTTATATCAGGTAATCCCTGGTAATGAATCTCGGGTGATGAAGATGCTAAACCGAATATCAGAGATTGGATCAAATATAGTGATGGGTAAGAATGAGGGGCTGCATACTTCTGGTCATGCGTACCGTGGAGAACTAGTAAGCTGATTCAACATTGCTTTGAATGATTGATTTTAGAAGTTTCTTGGTCACTTTCACTTTGTTGTTCCTTGAACAAACAAAATACAGAAGTATAGGAAAACAGCACAACATTTAAATTCAGGATGCTACAGTCTACATTGTTAATGCATTTGTTTGTGGGGCCTGTGGTTGCAAGATAATATATTAAAGGGAGAATGCTAAAATCTCCTTTCTAAATTTTCTCCTCTGTTTGCTCACCTTGGATATAACATGAGTTTATATTTCTGTTTTTATTCATTTTTTTCCTTAGAAAGGGAATTAATCTGTTACTTCAGTATCGGCTAAATAAAGGGGGTTCCTTAAGATTTTGTTTCTTGACTTAGAAAAGGATAACTTGGATGTGAATTAGATGTCCTATGGATGTGATTTGAATTGATCAAATCAGATACATAGATTTTGAGTGTGATTATTTTTTCTCCTGTTGTCAATGTAAAACTCTATCTGAATGGTTTTATTTTGAAGGAGGAAGTACTTCAAATTGTAAAGCCACAACATTTTCTACCCATACATGGAGAGCTCTTGTTCCTAAAAGAGCATGAGCTACTTGGGAAATCAACGGGTATTCGACACACCACTGTGAGTTGCTATTTTCATTACTCTCCAAGGACTTCTTTATTTATTTATTTTTGTGATTTTCTAAAGTTGATTTTTTAATGTAATATTTCGTGTGATTTTTTTACTAATGGATGAAGTTTAATTTATAACTTTGTTTAGTCTTAAGTTGTCCAAGAATTAATCTGAACATGAAATGACAGCTACTAGGTCTCAGTAAGACTAGATGATTTTGGTAAGATCTTTTTTATGTTCACAAAAATAGGGATAGTTTAACAAAGAAAGCTTGTTAAAGAAAAAGTATATATATTACTGAACGAGATACATGTTAGAATTGACCGACTGAAAGGACAGTAGATCAGAGTTGGTGATAATAACAAACATATTGCAAGGAGAATAAACGAGATGCTTGGAGATTTTGATTCATCATAGGGATTGCTTCCACATTATCTATCATGGTAGAATATGCTGTTGCACTCTATTAATTGTAATTCTTATTTATCATATCAGGTTATAAAGAATGGAGAGATGCTTGGGGTTTCTCATTTGAGGAATAGAAGAGTTCTTTCTAACGGTTTCAGTTCCCTTGGGAAGGAGAATTTGCAGGTTTGAAACCCTTAAAAGTATTTGGCAGTTCTTGAAAAAGTTAATTGAGAAGGATATTCATGAATTTAGTTCTAAATTGCAGCTAATGTACAGTGATGGTGATAAAGCATTTGGAACATCAACTGAACTTTGTGTTGATGAGAGGCTAAGAATTGCATCTGATGGTATTATAGTGGTCAGGTAGATAAGTTTAGATGCTTAAATGAAATCTCAATGTATTTCATATTTGTTCGTGGATATTAATATATTCCTTTTGCAGCATGGAAATTTTACGCCCCCAAAAGGAAGATGGCATAGTTGAAAATAGATTAAAAGGGAGGATAAGAATCACTACACGCTGCTTATGGCTAGACAAGGGGAAGCTTTTAGATACACTCCATAAAGCTGCTCATGCGGCACTGTCAAGCTGTCCTGTGAATTGTCCTCTACCTCACATGGAAAGAACTGTTTCAGAGGTATTGAGGAAGACAGTAAGGAAGTATAGTGGTAAGAGGCCTGAAGTCATTGCCATTGCATCAGAGAACCCAGCAGGAGTTCTCTCTGAAGAGCTGAATGAAAGGCTATCTGGTAATTCCAATGTTGGTTTTGAGTTGCCAACATTGAGAGACATGGTAGATGAGCATCCAAAAAGGGGATCACCAAACAAGATAAAAGCAGAAGAAGATGACAGTACGTTGCATGTAGAGGATGCCTCGGAACAAAATTTGATAGGTTGGTCCTTGTCCTCTTTTTTGCTGTCTTCCAATCTCTTGCGTGTTCATTCAAGTTCCGTCTGTGAGCATGTAGCTGGATATGTGTTCAAATGTTTGTGTTGGAATTGGTAATTTATTGATCTGAATGGTAGTTTACTTTGTGATTTAATACTCCTGTTTCATTGATGTGTTCTATTTTATCATGATTTCTTCAAGCAGATGGTGATGGTGAAGTCGACAGGTTCTTACCCGAGGACGACGCCAGTACATCAAGTCCTGACCGTGCAGAAAGTCATACACTCAATAATGATGATTCTGATGAATTTTGGATATCATTCATCAAATCATCGTCACCTGTTGACAATTTAGAAAAAGATAATGTGTTGGTCCAAAAGGAGGAACACGAGCCAGAACTTGAGAGTGATGGCACTGCTAGCAGTGGTGATAAGCCGGAAAAACCTAGCTCTCAACTAAAGTCATCAAAGCCTAAGAGGAACAAATGGAAACCTGAAGAGGTTAAGAAGCTGATTAAACTACGGGGGGATTTGCATATCAGATTTCAAGCTGTGAAGGGGAGAATGGCCCTCTGGGAGGAAATATCTACAAGCTTGTTGGAAGAAGGAATTAGTCGAAGCCCTGCACAGTGTAAATCTCTATGGGCATCCCTGGTTCAGAAATATGAGGTTGGGTCTCTCTCTTTTTAGTGTTTCCTGTAGAACTATTGCTGATATATCTCTATATTGATTGTAGGATAGTTTACCCATCTGGGGCAAAGCAAAACTCAACTCAACTCCAAATCGATTTTTTAAATTTTGAATTATTTGAGTTAATTGAGTCAACTCGAATTATCGAGTTGGATTTCGAGTTTGAGTCAAGGAATTTAAGAATTTCGAGTCAATCGAAAAATAAAAAATTAGCTGAGTATTTTTACAGTTTTATGATTTGGTCCCTAATTTATTTATTCCTTCAATTCTCCCTTCATTTGAAGTCTATTTTTTTTCCAAATTTGAACTACATGTTCCTAAATTATTGTAGAATACCTATGTATAAAAAATTTAGCCTTTTGCAGTTTTATGATTTTCTCACCCCTATATGCATGAATGGAATAGGTTCCGTGTGGCTTTAGTTTCATAGCCATTTATGTTGGTCCCTATAGCTTCACCTGCACATTGAAGAATGTAAATATCTAGATTCATAGCCATTCATGTTGGTCCCTATAGCTTCTCCTCCACATGGATATGGGGATATGGTTTTTCAAGGATCCTCTAATTACATGAAAATCGTGAAAAAGAATTGAACATAACTGTGTCCAGCACTAGCACCTTATTGACAAGTTTGGCATATATATTTTGACAGGAAAACAAGAATGAGAAGAAAAGTCGTAAGAGTTGGCCCTATTTTGAGGACATGAATAGGGTTTTAAGTGATTTTGAGGGACAACCACAAAATGACTGAAGTGTGGAGGAGGAGATGCTAAACATGCAATATTAAAATATGTAAGCAGTGATAACTATCGTGACCATGGAATCCAAGGCTTGTTTTTGAGGTTGGTAAAGTGTTCAATCATTTCATTCATGTATAAATGGTAGAAATGGGCCAAATCAGAGAGGCCATTCATGGGGGAACAATTTTGTATTAAGACTTCCTGTAAATTTAAAAGTTTATTATTTCTTAATATCTGTTTATACATTTGCAAATAGTCTTTATTTTATTTTAGGTCATGAGGCTCTACTTGTGGGTTCTAGATTGAAAGCAATTGGTTTAGTCGATGGATGATGCCGATCATGTGATCAAGCTGAAGATACCCGATGATGAAAGGATTATCATCTTAGCTGCAGTTGATAGGCTTGTGATTAAGGGCCAGCAGACATCTTGTGGAGAATGGTTGGAAGATGCTTCGACTCCAATAGCTTCACTTTCCTTCTGGCTGAATGGCATAGTTGATAAAATTTTTAAATTAATATTTGAAATAGAATTATCCTTATAATTTGATGACTATACACGTAGTTTACCCTAAAAAAAGAGCTTCTTGGTAAAATGGACAACTAACATAAAAAAAAATTCAAGTATCATGCACAGGGTAAACTACTCAAATGGCAACTTAATTATGGGATTTGTGTCGATATAATCTCCATACTTTCAACTTTGATAATACGACTATATAATTGTTTAAGTGCTTTTAAAGTAGCCAACATAGTTGATGTCGTTATTATTGACCAACAGCAAGTTTGAGGTCAACATCAACGCACTGTTTCTTTTGCAACAACAAATAGATATATTGAAATCACTTAAATAGTTATGTCCTCGTATTATTAAAGTTGAAAGTATGATAATCATATCAATACTAAACCATAATTAAGGGGTCATTTTACCCTTTTTAGTATGTTATATTTCCTCGTTCTCCGCAATTTCAGTTGACATTTGTTTAATGAACACCATAGAATGACCGCTACCCAACAAACTCAGGAAATGCTCAAAATGTGGCACTGTCACCTTTATGCCTTAATTTGACCTTCTTGAACCTCTAATTAAACTAATGTTTCTACCGTTAATATATGCTTTTAAGTTTCAATCATCTTATCAAACAAATAATTGGCATGTTAAGATTTTAAGTTAAAATTTATTAAAGTTAAGATTTTAAGTATGTGAATTAAATTAAAACATTTGGTTTATGGGTTAAATTAAAAACCTAGAATTATATTACCCCTTTTAACCCTATCAAAACACACTTGGTAGAAAATCACCACCACATAAACTTCTCATATTGTCGGACCAGTATATATTATAGTTATGAAGTGTCCTGCGTTTAAGTAAAATTTTATGTTTTGATATTTGTGTAGGTAGAAAATTCTTGTTGAGTGAGTCACTTATGAAAACTTAGTTTACTAGTCAGATCGATTTAAATGAGTGAAGGCAAAACCTTGAAACTAAAAGATAACAAGAAAAAAGTTTAAAATTTGTCACAGCCTCAAGCATATCCCCGCAACTTTCTGGAAGTTAATTTTAAAAAAAAAGTTAGGTGACTAAAATAAAATATATGAAATAAATGGGTGATCATATAGGTAGTTTACCCTAAATGTTATTTCCCAAACAACGCGATTCATATCAGAGTAGCTAAACGACATTACTTAGCTAGCAGCTCTAGCCTCTAGCTCAAGGGCTGGCGGCTCATTATAGCCGCCGGAAATATAATTGGGCCGAAGAAATAAAAAAAAGGAGGTAAAATATTAAGGCGATTGAAGAAGAGAAGGGAAAGGGGAAAGGGGAAAGGGGAAAGGGGAAAGGGCGAAAATGCCGAAGAGAACAACGCATACGTACTCGAGCGAAGACGCAGCACCAGATGGACCTGACTCTGATCTCTTCGTCTACTATTGCAAGCACTGCGGCTCTCACGTTCTTATTACCGGTTAGCTCTTCCCTTCTTTCGATTTTCTCCGTTTAGGTGCTTCTAGGTTTTATGTTAACAAATCTTGCACACATAGCTCCATTGTTATCGATTCCGAATCTATATTAAACAGTTTCCCAACAATCAAATGTTTTCACCTTGTTTTTACGCGAGGATTCTAATTTTTTAATGTGCTCTGATGTTTTGTTCTTTGATTAAACGTTGCTTTAGCAGATGATTTGGATCTTTTATTTTTACGGTAAAACATGTTTAAGTCAACGTCAGAGATGTATTGCCATGCGATAACTGTGTAAATGTCCAATCTTGCTTTTTTTTTCATGGATCCATTGCTGTAAGAAAGAAAAAAGTGTTACAATTCAAATATGGACAGGCAGTAGAACTAGTCACTACGTGTCTAGCTAGCTGGTCATTAGTCTATTGTGATAGCCCTTGGTACGACTTTACATTGGGTTCAAAAGAGAGGCAGGCATGTCTTTGGTGTGAAGTAAGCAAGAAAATATAAAACAAAATTGCTCTCTTCTCTCTCCTTTTCTTTCAATTGTACTCTTATATGTTTCTTATGTTTTATCTCATGTTGCTAGATTGGTTCGGATTGGCCCATACCAAAAGGCTTTTGAAAGGTCATTGTAATTGAATGTTGTTGTGAGCTTTTGCAAAGATTAAAATATAAATGCAACTTTAAGGATACGGGTACCTACTTATTAGTGATATCTCATGATCAAAACAAAGATAATTTAGATTCTCGAATCACTTCATTCCTGGTTCTATTGTCACAAAAATTTCCTTTTTATGTGATTTTACATCCAGACAAGTAGTTACTGTCTAAATGACTGCATGTGACTCAATGAAGTCATTTCCCCCTAATGGAGCAGCCTACACCTCTGCCTTGATGTATAGGCTTTCCTTTTCTTTCTGAAGTTCTTTGTTTTGACAGATATGGGGTAGTTGATTAATCTTTTATGATTGAATGTTTTAATTGCTTGATTAGTTTGGATAAGGCCTTCCCCGTTGCTGACAAATATTTTTTTATAAGATACTCAATTGCAGAAAATGCCCAAGAGAAAGACTGACAAAGCATATGTGCTTGACAAGAAAAAGCATCTTGCTAGGCTTAACGTTACCGAGGGGGGCAAAGTTCTCTTGAAGAGGCAAGGTTTTGTTATATATATGTGTGTACTTATTTATTTATTCATTGCTGCTGTGCAGTTGCCTAATTTTGGCTGAGCACTTTTGAATGCATCAATGCAATTCCTAGTTTTAGGTCTGATGCCATATTTGTCTATACCATGTTCCTTATTTTCTTAGCATGATTCATTTTCTTGGAATATTTTACACTTCATTTTGGCTTTCGAAAAAGTGGGTGGGGAATGAGTGATGTTTGCTTTAACTTTTAGTGATTGTACCACTTTTGCATGGAGTTTGTAGTTATGAGCATGTTACCTTCTTCCAGGGGAGAAGGGAAATTGGAGAAGCAATTCCGTATGAATTGTTTAGGTTGTGGCCTGTTTGTTTGTTATCGGGCTGAAGAAGATCTGGAAACCGCGCCTTTCATTTATGCTGTTGATGGTGCCCTTAGTACGGTTGCTGCAGAAACCAATCCTCAGGTACAATTATGAACAGTGTCTCTGGGTTATTATTCCATCCATCATCCATGTTTCTTTAGCTATTTAGAATTTGCCAATACATTTTTCACGACTGATGTCCACATCTTTTTTATGTTAAATTTATTTCCAATTTAGTTTTCCGCAAGATGCAGCCACTATAAATATATTTGAACTTCCCTTTTCCTGGTTTCCTTTACGTTGTAGGATGCTCCTGTGCCACCTTGCATATCCCAGTTAGAGGGAGGACTTGTCCAAGTCGCCATAGAGGTGGAAGATCGTGCACAACGCTCAGCAATTACAAGTAATAAACTCCTTCAATCACCATTTTATATTCTTTATGCTTATCGCCCTTTGACATCCTTATATTTCCTTAATCATTTTTGCAACACTTTAAGTTCTTACCTGCCAAATCAAATTCTTTCCATATAATTACATTTTTGTTTGAAGTAATTTGATTATATTTCCAATACGTGGGTTTGGGAATCTTTTTTCATGCTTAAGGATATCAATTCAGACCTCTTACTGAAAGATCCTACTTCTCTATCTGTATATAAAGAACAATTGGTGGTTTTATCCACAACTCATTATGGAGCTTGAAAACGTATCTTGACATTTATGGTGTTGGAAACACTAGCACTGTAATGCTATGAGGGTACGGACAATGGAGATTGGAAAATAAGTAAGATGGACATAATTTTATGTGGATGGCATGAGGATACCAACAAAATTAGGTAAAACTAAACTGTATAATATCCTAACTCTGATGTTTGATTGTAATCCAGATGAGGTAAAAATCATGGTAAATCAATGATGTGAATGTTATTGGCTATCACTAGAGCCTTGGAAAAGGATTTTAGTACTCTGAGCCTGGAGTTTGATTTTTGAATGATGACATTCTAAGGGAATGGTAGCAGGAGTGTGAACTGTGATCTATTTGTTGATCCCATCCCCCACCCCTCATGGACTGGTAAGCTTGAAAGCCCCTGACATCACAATCTGTGGTAGGATTTGGGACCTCTGTGGACATGCTGCCTTTGGTGAAACCAACAAAATAAAAAAAAGTTGGAGGAAAAATGATATTGTATTAGCAAAGGCTCATAAAATACTTGAAAAATGATGTCATAGAGTTGAGTAGATAATTTTTACCTTTACAGGCAGAAACTACATTTTCTTGATATCTTAGCTGTTACCTTTAAGGATGCTTTACATGTTAGTTTTTAAAACCATGTTGGATGAAGATATCTTCAACTAGTCTTGATCGTATAATCTTGTCCTGGCCATTTATTCTTTCCAGGAGTAAATGCAGATGATGTACGAGTTACTGTGGCTGCACCTGCTGCCCGTGGTGAAGCTAACAGTGAACTTTTGGAATTCATGGGAAAGGTTTTTTCTGATATTTATCTAAAGCTACACAATTAAGTCAATATATATATATGTATAATAGGAAAGCTGAGCTGAAGTTAATATCATCTACCTTTTACACAGGTGCTGGGGCTGAGACTTAGCCAGATGACACTTCAGAGAGGATGGAATAACAAATCAAAGCTTCTCGTGGTAAGTGAATCAAATTCCCATAATGGTTTGTCAGTATGCATACATCCATTCCCTTATATGAATTTGATCTTCAGAGTTGAACTGTCATTGCTGTCTGGTAAAAAAAAACCCTTAAACACTTGGCTGGAAAAATAGTTTATTTGATTCTTGCATCAGGTTGAGGATTTGTCTGCCAGACAGGTGTACGAGAAACTTTTAGAAGCTGTTCAACCTTGATGCATTATGGTAATATCTTTGGGTTCAGATTCTGTGTTAACTGTTGCAAATCATGCAATCCATTGCATCACGAGGCATGCAGACTGTATTATATTTGGTGGGATCAATTGTTTTAACTTCAACCTTATGTTTTACCCCTCGAGATGGTTCGGATATAGGTATGCTATTAAATCCATTAATTGGAACAATAGTTTTTTGAAGATTAATACTTAAATGGCGAGTGTTTTTTAAATGTCAGCTAAGTACATCTTTAGCGTGATCGAAATGAGTGTCGTTTAAAGCCTTTACGTGACTGAAATGAGCGTCATTTAAAGCCTTATATGTGACCGAAATGAGCGTCATTTAAAGATCGAAATGAGTGTCGTTTCTAGAAATAGTATTGTTTGAGTGTTAGTTTTATAATTCTATTTGAAATTAGTATTATTCTCATAATATTATCCTTTTTTGATCGAATTCAAATAGGGTACTTCTTTGCCTTTGTAATATCATAAATTTATTTACATTAATTTTGTAGAAATAAAAAAGGAAGAAGATTAAAGTGGAGAAAGTATCATTCTACATGTTCATCTTTTATAAATGGTAAATATATAATTTTTAAGAATTCTACAAGGGTAAACTACATATTTAGTCGCCTAACCATCAATTTGATTTTATTTTGATCATCTAACTATTTTCTGTTTCAAAATCATCAATAATGTTATATTTTGGTTTTATTTTGGTCATTTGCCGTTAAAAAAATAACGATTATGTTGATATATCACCTTGAGATAATATAACGTAATTATAAAAAAATATCACAAATAATTTTACTAATTTTTTAAAGATGAATAATTAAAATAAAATCAAAATATAACCTTAAAAAATTAAGGGCTTAATTTCTATGTTTGTTCCAAGCCACCCAAATCTAAGAAATGACTATCAAAACACACTTGGATTATCCTCCTGATAAAATAAGCAGTGATGATTTGTTCAAGTTGCCAATGTTGTGGGTTCACAGCTATCATGAACACAAGCCAAGACATCCTTGTAGTCCCTTGAAATGGTGAAGGAATCATAAACCTTGCCGTCACGGCTCTTCTTATACTCGAATAGCAGGGATGACTGGTTAAATGCCGTCAGCTTGACGAATCCCCAGTCATAATCTCTATAAAGACTCCAATACGGGATAAGTTTGCTGAAACCTGAAAGATGGCTCCCTCCACCACCCACGACAACGTGGATCGTTCCGGTGACAACGCCCGAGTAATGGTTTCTTTCTTTGTTCATACATTGATTCTGCACAAAGCATATACCACAAAGTTCAGAGAGATTATATGCTTGTAGTAAAGATACTACTAATCTAACTATTCCGTACAAAAGGTAACTGTTACGGAGAAAAGAGATATGCCAACTCGATGACTATCACACACATCAAGCATTCACTCGGTTGTTTACGTAGCATGTATGTGAGAGTGTGAGAGTGTGCTCGTGCACAAACAATACTCATTTAGTGATGTAGTATCAATGGTTCGGTTCCAGGGTGGTCGAACGAGGAGACGGTTCAAATGAGCACCCATGGTTCATTATCGCATCAATTATGATACTGGGATTTAGTTCGACAGTGCAGATTTGAGGATCTTTTGGAATTCACAAACCTTACCTGGTAGATTGGGCATGATCTTTCATAGTTATGGACATGGCCATAGAAAGCGATGTCAACCTTGTACTTCTGCCAAAGTCTCTGCAAACTCGCCCTTCCCATAGGCTCTTCGTATGCACCCTCCTGACCGTACCAGTCGTTAGATGAATATCCAAGGACACGGTGTGCAGCAAATATCAACCAAGGCTGCCTATGTCTATCGGCCGATGCAAGGCATTGCTCAATAAACTTATACTGTTCCGATCCTTCTCTCCAGTCATGTTCACTGTCAGCGATGCAGAAGTGAAATAGTCCATAATCTGCTGAGTACCTGCATTTTCAGAATATGGCCAAAAAAATTCATTGGATCCAGATCAAGCCCTTATCTTTTTGAAATAAAAGACGTTCATTCATTAAAAAATAGCATCAGCTGATACATGATCGTGCAAAAGTCTAGGATAATTAACACCAAATCAATGTGAGGTTCCACTAGTTAAGCCAAAGGCGGAAGCTGGTGTGCTACCATATTTCCCAACTGATGACAAGAAAAACAGACTAAACAGAGGTCATGTTCGGAGCTCTGCAAACACCAATGTTGGTACTTGGTAGATATACAAAACAACAATGGTGCGTCTCTGAGACAACTGTTTACCTAAATCAGGCCATTAATAGTTAATAACACAGCTGGTAGACTTTTCTTCGGAATCCTTAATCACCGTTTAAATGCTTTATCTTGTTTGATCGGTTTCAAGGATGTTCCTTTCTCATTCTATGCAGGTATAGAATTGCATGCTTATTTAATCCTTTAGGAAGCTACATCATGTTACTATTTTTAGCAAATACTGAATATTCTTAGCTTTGTTTCAGCCAAAAGGAGAAAAGCTGTAAGATTTATCGTAGAAGAGTTTCCACTAAAATTACCAAAACTTCGCCTTGTTCTCAGCTGGATAATAGAACATGGTTTCTGCTGGCACACCACATTCACCACCTGAATCAGGTGTATTGTAGAAGGATCCCGAGTTTGGCCAATCACGTTCATGATTACCGCTGTAACACAATTGAAGAATTATGTTTCAAATATCATCTAGAAGTTGAGTCTCAAATATATTCTCGAAAATCACATACTAAAGTGCCCAAGCAAAGCACGTATGGAGTACCTTGCAATCATGTATGGAACAGTTGATGCTATAGGCTCCACCTGTGCTGTAAATTGGTCCCACTGCGAAATGTATCCATTTGAATAAGTCAAGTCTCCTATGTGGAAAACTATGTCAATGTTGTCCAAGTCCCCAATGAGTTGATCCGTGGTATTGAGTGCACCAGGCTGGTAATTACTATACTCATTTGAACCATCACGCTCCGCCTGTGAGATGTTACAAAACTTGTCATGTAATGCACAAACATATTTCCTATCAAAATTCCGAAAAACCAGACAAAATGAGTGGTCTGGTCAATCTATCATATTTCCTATCTATTGACAAATCCTAGTGCCTGCTCACAAGCCCTTCATTATTGGTTTTTCAATATTACCTTGCCCATATCACCAAAAATAATGACCCTCTGTAATGAGTTTTGTCCAGGATACGGGGAAGATTTAAATGAATACGTTTTGCTCAATATGACTGATCCATCAGATAAGAGATGACCCATCCTGTATGTGTATCTGAAATACCATCATATGCAACCTCGTAAGTGAGATCATTTAAACTTTCAATTTGTAATATATCTAGATAGGTGAACGGGTATTTGTGATGCTTACACAAAGTTGGGCCACAAATCTTTCAAGAAACTTGTATGCGTGAAACCTGGATCACGCCAGCCAACTGTACTTGCAGGTGAACCTGCAGATTGATCATCCACTCCATTAAACAATGTAAGAAGTGAAATTATTTCGTATGTAATATACTTAGTTTGATTATGGTCGAGTCAAGGAAATAAAATCTTTCACAAGTGAGATAATGAAGAATTCACTAACTAGAAGCAATCAAATTGGAGACTTCATCATACAGGCGCTTAAACAATTTTGAAGCCACGAAATTAGGACTAGAGTGCGTTTTTCATTAAATAGCCACTAGCTGAACCAAACAGGAAAAGTTCATGACTGATACAAAGGAGGAATTACGTCTGGCATACCCATATTTTTTATTGATGAAGAAAAATTCACATAAAAAATGTATATTCAAATTTAAAGCAATATTATTGTAGCACCAAAGTCCCATAAAAAGTTATTACGTTCATACCACACATGCTATTCCGTTTGAATGTCACAGTTCCCGCGGGAGATCTAACTCGCAAATCTCCCTTTCTACCCCATTCAACAAATGGGGCTGCTTCATCTATGTCATAGCCACTTGTCCAGGTTACTGTCATCTGTGCGACAAATCAACTATTGTTTGAATACTAATAAAAGGAGCAACCAGAGCAGACCAAAATGGAAATTATGTCTTAATGCACAGATTATTTCAAAATCACAATACGCTCGCTAAATTGAGTACAATCAAGTAGGCAGAATTTCATAGCTTATCATCGATGATACACTTGCAGAATTAGCTAATGCATGCATAATATTTTTAGCAAAATATGTAAATCTTTTCCCTGATCAGAAAACACAAAAAAAGTTCATATCGGAATCATAAAATAGAAGGCATTAGATAGAACTTACTTCATTCCAAGACTTCCCTAGAGCAATGCGTGGATACAAGGGTGCTTTCGGATTTACAAAAGATATTGGATCTGATATAGCCACCAAGATTGGCTGTAATATATTCAAGTACAAAATTAATTTAACAAAAGTGGGGGGGGGGGACAACTTTCCTTGGACGATAACTAATTAAGATAATGAAGAGGCACTAAGCTGAATCGATGATTCAATGTGATGTAAAAAATATACATTGCAAAGGTCTAAGGAGGAAAGAAAAAGAAATATGAGCATGGAGGGACAAGGGACATGATTTACATCCAATAATCCGCCTGAAAATAAAGCAAAGGAGAAATCCGCTCGCTGATTTATAAGCTGGAACCTCAGTGAACCACTGCCTGTCTTTGCATAAAATGGACTCGACTCATTTGCATACTTGTACTGGAACACCACAAAAGAAAAGTTTGCAAGTTGAATGAGTTTTCAAGCCATAAAGTTAAAAAATTCTAAATCCTCATTGATAAAAAAATAGACCGCATTCACCTTTATCGGAGCTGAACAGATATATGGAAGCTGTTCTTTCCGGTCGTTCACTGGTGGACATGTCGATGGGCTGCCAGCCATAAACACCAAAACTATCTCTAAGTTCTCAAACAATGCAAAATTCACTAACGAAGCTAACGGTGAAATGACAATCAATAGGATCCTATTAAATACTGTAAAAACAATGATATATCAATGAACTGAGTTTTCATAAAAACCTCAGTCATAACAAGCACATTTAGTGATTTGCAGATGAAATTATGACATTGGTGAACATTACTCGAACTTTGCCGGAGAAAAGACTCCAACCCAGTCATCTGAAGACGGGTTTGGATTCACGAAAATCACAGTTATCCATTGAGTGTCCTCCCCCTGTGATCAAACAAATGATAAAAATACATAAAAATGTACTTCATAAACTCAAGAAAAACTGGAACCTTCAACCTATAAAGAACAACATGATTTTAATTTATACATAAGTTACAGACTCGCATATATATATGTACGCTCATACAAGTCATTTATATTTTTGTTAGTTATAAACTAATAATCATATCATATGTAAGTTAATTATGTTGTTAAAAACATTAAAAAAAACCCCATAATTTAGTAATTTACTATATAAAAAACATATTTTTATCACAAATGTAACATCCTTTTAAATAACCCAGATTCCTATTGAATATCATGAACGTAATAAAAAGTTATCTTGAAAGTTCTTATACTGGAAAACCCAATGAACAAGAAAAAAAATCAAAGAACTTTCCAAGAGTGCTGATACGTTAACCAAAACAAGAAGATTTATAAGCATAAAAAAAGATTGTACCTTTAAACCAAGAAGAACAGGTTGGGCTGAAATAGCTGCGAATTCATGAAAGGAAACGGTAGCTTTGAGGATATTGATTTTAGCCAAGGGTTGATCTCCTCCATTAACGTCAGCCAAACCCAAGTTTAAACTAGCAGTGAATAAAACAAAGACCCATAACCAAACCATCTTCATACAAGCAGATCAAAGAATGCAAAGATTCAAAGGAAGTATATTTTTGGGCTGTTGACTTAAAGTTTCGAAAGATAGATGATTAGCAGTGTGTTTTGAGCTTGAATCTGACAAGAATTCAAGAATGTTGATTGGAGTTGTTTCTTGTTCCCCCTGCCAATTGATTTATTTATTATCGAGTTTCTGAGAGTTTTAAGACTCCACGTTTGTCATTTGATTACTAAAATTTGTTGCTTTTCAACACCTCATCTTTACCAATTTTACATTTTCCCCCTTTAAAATTTGAGGATAAGATTTATTTTTTTAGAGGCCTTTGGGAGTTCGGTTTATGTAGTATATTATTTTAGGGAATAAGATTTATTGGGATTATATTTAACATATTATTAATATAGTAAATAGTATTTACAAATAAATTATATAAATAGGATGAATTTATAATGAATGTTACACATTAAAATATATTATTAATATCACACGATATAATCACTAAAATGAAAAGATATTACTAAAGAAGCATTAAAAATTACAAGGATCTAAGTAAAAATATTTGGCAGGATAGTCAAATTGCTCATATTTGTTATTGTATATTTCCTTAGATCATAATTCTAGACCTATTATAAACATTCTTCTTCTTTTCGCTAAAGTCTCTCTTTCCTCCTCTCTAAGTAAAATCAAGATACAACACGTGATTAATTTCTTATAAAAAATTAATTATATTTATAATAGAAATTTATTTTTATGCAATTAGAATCACTATTTTTATTAAATTGAGAAAATATTGAAAATTACAATAAAGTTAGTAGACTAAATCTATGATTAGAACATTTTTTTAGGAACTATTGACACAAAAAATTAGTCACTTAAGATCATATAAGGAAGTAAAATGTTAAGCAAAAGATAGATACATAATCAGTATTGGATCCAGAAATATCATTTAGGGTGGACACACATATATTAACACCATAATTTTTTTAAATGAAACGAGTACAAATAAAATTTCAGGTGGGCAATGCCTGTAAAATAAGTAACTAATCGGGAAAAAAATCAAATTTCAGGGTGGGTACAACAAATTTCAGGGTGGACACCATCAGTAAAATAAGTAACTAATCGAAAAAATTTGTATTTCAGGGTGGACACATGCCCACCCTCACCAAGATATGGTTCTGTCACTGTACATAACAAATTTAATTACATCGACAAACGAGTCACAACAAAGAGTTACAACTATTGAAAGACCGTTAAGAATCGCAAATTTGAATTGGGCATCGTGAGAATAATATCTACGAACATAAATTGTGTATCCAAGTTCAATTCGAGAGTCCAAAGCAGGAAAGGCCAACAGAATATCAAATAAGTGTCATCTTGATCGATCGAGACGACATTCAAATTCAACCCTAAAAAATTAAATGAAAAAAAAAGATCAAATAATCAAAAACATGTCACAAAGATATAAAGATAAATAAAAAAATAATATAAAGATAGTATTGTTAGAAATCATAAATATATATATATATATATATAATATGATAAAATAAATGAAAAACAACTGTGAAAACAGAGATGATAAAAACCCGAAGCCTATGGTGCGTTAGGGATAGAAAAAGCCTAGGGTTAATGTTTTTTCCTAATAGAAATTTACTTGGATTATATGTTTTATTATAAAATATATAAAATATGCTATTTTAATTTTATTTTAGATTTAAAATACAAATTATTAGACCCATAATTTGTTCATCTTTCATGGTCGATTGATTACTTGTTGGAAATTCATTTTGTTTTCATTATTCATTATTGTCGACACCTAATATTAAGGAAAAGGTATGAGGAACAAAAAGTTAATTTAAAGTTAAAAAACTATTAAAACAAAAAGTAACTAAAAATATGATAAAAATTATAATATTTTAAGTTAGATGTAACCTAAGATTTATTTATTTTCTTAATATAAAAATATAATTATTTTTAAAAAAATTATATTATAATGTCTGAAACATCCTCAATCGTAGGGATGGCAACGGGCCGGGTTCGGGTATTGGTCCCCCCATCCCCGTCCCCGTTTAAAAAACCGGTACCCGTTCCCGTTTAAAAATCCGCGGGGATTTAAACGGGGATCCCGTCGGGTAATCGGGGAAAACCGCGGGGAAACGGGTATCCCGTTTAGCATAAACGGTTATTTAAACGGGTATTGGGCCGGGTATTGGGTCGGTATTAGGCCGGGTATATATATATATATTTAAATTAAATATATATTTTTTATTTAAATTAAATTTATTAATATTATATATATATATATAAATAATTATTTTTAATATTTATCGGGTCGGGTATCGGGGCGGGGATTACCAAACCCGTCCCCATCCCCGTCCCCATTTAAAATAAATAGGTTTTCCCCGTCTCCGTCCCCGTTTATCATCCCCGAACCCGACCCGTTTAATTCGGTTTTCGGTTTTCCCCATCGGATTCGGGTTTTTTGCCATCCCTACTCAATCGTGATATTATTGTTGAAAAATAATTAGATAAATTAATGCTATTTGTATTTTATTAATAATAAGTCATATCACTTGATGAATATACTTAAATTTTAACTTTAAAATTACATTCATTCAATCATACATAATCAACAATTTTCTTCGTCAAAAGGTTAAACATTTCCATCAAAAAATCTAAACCCTTCAACTTGTTTTTTATCCTCTGTATAAAAAACTAAGTTGTGACATGTTTTAGACACAAACTTTAAGGTTTTTCGGTTCATTTCCTCTCCACTATGTATATGCCAGTTGATACCAATTTTTATATACAACTTACAACTCTGAATAGAAAACTACTTAGATTTTTTTTTTCAAATCCGATCATATTGATGATATAGAAAGGTAAATTTGTGTTCAAATTATCACTACGGTTGTATTTAGTGTTGTCATTGTTTGTTGTTGTATCATGAGAGACTGACGTCCAACGTTATTCAGTGCATTGAAAAGATGACGAATCTGTCTTAGGAACCTGTTGATATATATCTCAACAAAAAATTCTTTTCTGTTTGCTAAATACGAATTCAACAAAACCTATGTGTGAGTTTAAGGTCACAAATTCATAAACTTGTTTGTATTAGTTGAAACTAGAAAGCTCACCTGTCCCATAGATATATATTCTTTAAGTAGATTTTGATATAGTTTTTTAATAATTATATTTTAACATAGTTTCCTTTGCATACAATCGACGCGATATAAAACATTGTAAAGAGGACGATCTAATCTTAATAAAATTATTTATACATCCCTCAACTAAAGTTCTTTTCTATTTATATGATTATTTTCATTCGGTTTCATATCTAAATACAAATAGATAATTCCGTTTGTCTATTTTAATTTTTTATTTATTTTAACGTTTTGTCTAACAATTATAGTCGCAGCCATAATTTAATACTATGTTGGTGCATACATGACCATAAGACCACAAAATAGATAGAAGAGGAATTAAAAATACATTAAACATTGATGATATGCACAATTTTGTCCTCTAAATCAATGCAAAATCAAATAGTTTTATTTAGATTTTCTGTTAAAATTATAAAATAATTTTGTTATGGTATTTCCATTAATATAGATGAATAATGCAACATTATTTCTGCTCTTCGTAAACAAACCCGGATGCAACGGATAGCTGAACAATGCAAAATTATTTGTGGCCGTGAGTAAGAAAGGATCCAAGGGTAAATATACCATCATACTCACATTAGATGTATATTCATATTTAACATTTACTTCTATTATGTGTGTGTGTGTGTGTTATAACGAAGGGGATTCTTGTTTGTATAATTAAAATGAAATATGAAGCAAACTCTTTTATATCATCTAATGGTACTGTTTATTATATATTCCAATCATTAAGTTTCAGTGACAAAATAATGGAGAAACAACCATAGCTCAACATTCTAAGCTGTGGCGTGGCAAGCAGAAACCTGAGAAAAAAGATGATTTCTCGATACGATCCGAAAAAGAATTGAAATCAAGCACCGTTTATCTAAAGGAAAGTTGTTACATTTCCTCTTGAAATTTACAAGTTACAAATGGGAAAAGTTTCTACCGGTGCTAATTCCCGGATCTCTTCAGGTATGCTAATAAGCCAAGCCCAGCAGCAACTGCAGCCCCGGCTGCAACAGCACTGTATGCAGCAGACCATGCATCGGAGTTAGCATAATCTAGGCTTCCCGAACCCGAACCAGTACCCTTTGGATGAGTTTTTGTTCCTGTATAATCTAGATGCAATCTCAAACACTGCAAAAGTCATCAGATCATTTGTCTCAACGTAAGAGATGACGGATTCAATGAAGTTTCCACTGCTACAAATAAGATGCTGGCTTTACAATGAACTAATTTAAACGCAGAGAGATCCAAATTGCACACTAACGTCTAAACACCACATATATCCCATGCAGAGCTTATATTTGAGTTCAACATGGATACCTAATAAAGATAATTTTTTGTATTACATTTTTTCTTTAAGGTCATACTACGAGCCAAATCTAGTTCCAAGCATCATTTCATCATACAAGCATATATTATTATTAGGGAATTATGAGTAAAGTACACCGTCAAATGCTCAATTAGGTGTAAATCCATATAAATTGCACAGTCCAATCATACCTTCCAACCAGCTAACTTTGCAAGCTCAACAGCCTCTGAAAGATCAGTGTCGGATTCCAACACAACTTTGTCATGGTCTTCATCTTCATACTGCATGATATACCCTCCAATTAGCATAAAATTTGGAGAGATAAGTTAAGTACCGAAGTAATCATCAAAAAATTAAAAGTACCCCCCCCCCCCAAAAAAAAACCCTACCAAAATTTGAGGCACAGTGTTTCTATCTATTTCATCCTGCAGCCTATTGAGGATTGCTGTTATTAGATCTGTTAAACTCCGTGTATCTGTATACAGAAGCAACAAACAAAAATCCTATTAGATACAACTTATCGAGATGGCCGGTGAAAAGCGTTACAGAAGAATTAGATCCCTCCGATAATATGCCCATGATTGTGGGAAATGCAATCGCCTGCCCACTAAAAATATGCTGAGTTGTAGGATCAGTAACCAATTGTAAAATCACACAATAGATGTAATCCATAAGATCAAAACTTA